ACTTTCCAGTGAAGTTGTAGAGTTTTTGAACCGTTGATAATTGGAACTTGAACTATAGCTGTAGAAAATTGTCGATTGGAATTGAATACATGGTCCTTATTTTAAGAATTGGGTTATTGAATCTTGGATCTTCCTGTTTCTGTTTAAAGATTACCTTTGAGAAATGTCTATGGTAGTGTCCTCTTGTTAAACATGTAAACCAAAAGATGAGTAGACTTTAAAATCAGGGGCTTAAGAGTTGACATGTTTTTTTGTATATAGTAATAACCCTCCGTGTTTTTCCTATATGCGAACCATCAATGATATTATATATAACAATGAAGCTTTCTGCATAGACCCGGATGAAGAAAGACTCGAGCTTTTTCTGTTCTCTTAGTTTGAGTCCCATATTGTTAAAACTATTGGACTTTTGGTAGGAAGTTACCATCAAAAAGTTCCTTGGTCAAACCCAAGAGTCTTTTAACATTTTTTTTCTATGGCAGTGTCTTCTTGTTTAACCAAAGATGAGACTTTAAAATCAGGGTTAAGAGCTTTCATGTTCCTTCATTGTATGTACTAATAATAACCCTCGGTGTTTGTCCTTTATGTGAATCATATGATCATGAAAGGATTCTGCAATGTATGTACTAATAACCCTTTCGAATAGCTTATCAGTCGTATGCACACGTAGGATAACCATGTCAATCCTCATATGGTTGATGCTATTTGCAATACAATTGTGAGTTTCAGGGAGTACATTGTTGATTATTATGCGAGTTCGACTATGATGAATCTGGCTGGCTATTCCCCGAGAAAATGCTTCATTTCAAGTAGCTGCTTCCAGCAGTGGGAGCTTGGACAGGGGAACATCGTTCGAGTACCATGAGTTTCAGGGATAGAAACCAATCCTGATTCGTCACATTCTGAAAACCCTCCTTAGTTTCCTAACCTGCTTCATTTCAATAAAGAATTGTGAAAATGCTTCATTTCAATTTGTTTTGTCTCTACTCAAGACTGCAAAATTGAAGTTTTAGGGCTTTCGAAAGATCATTACAACTTCACGGTTTGGTCAGATCACCTAAAATCTAGTTTTAGAAATGTCTATGGCAGTGTTTTAGTCTACGGTTTGAAACCAACCTTTTTGAGGGTATTTTTTTTTCTTTTGTAATATCTTTTGTTACTATGGCAGTCACTTGTTCTCATGCAAACCAAGGTATAACAAAAACCCTTCTAAATCACAGAGCACCAAAAATAACCAAATGCAGGAAGTTCACTAATGTTGAAAAGCTAAAAACCAAGTCTTTTAGTGATGATACACCACCAAAATAGAGACCAAAAGTAGCATGTTTTGGCACTTGCAACTCCACAGTGATAGTTTGAAAGTCAGTAACTTTGGCATTCTTGGTTGAAATATACTCGAGCGCTTTTCACTTCCAAGCTTATCGCAGGCTCGAATCAGTCTGTTGAGACAAAAAAAAATACAAGATTCTTTTCAGGAGATTGATCAGAGAGCTGGAACTAATCGAGTTTGCTCTGGCTATACGTACCAAGGTTAGGGAACCAGCCTGCGTGAACTTGCGTACTTAGTGTATATGTGCGCGGGATAATGAAGGAAAATCAGTCTCAAGTTCACTCATGAGCATGTGTGAAGGAAGAAAAATGAGTTCCATGTCCTACAAAACACCAATCATGAATATAAATTCGTTAACTTCAATGTTTGTTCAATGAACACATAATCAATCACATTTGGGTTTTAATACAGAGAAACAATGTATTCTCTGTCACCATTAGTTTACAGTCTAAAGACTAGGGCTG